GGGAGACAGTGAAGGTGATGTTGCTGCCCCCTTGAGGCTCTAAAAAAAAAAAAAAAAAAAAAAAAAAAAAAGCTCTGTGATCCATAAAGGACAATTTGGACTATCTGTCAAAATTGCAACTATATATACCCTTTGGCTCAGCAATTCTATTGCAATAAATCTGTCCTACAAAAATGCTAACATACATGCACAAAGACAAATATACAGATTTTCATTGCAGTGTTGTTTGCACTGGAAAAAAGGAGGAAAGTATCTAGTTAGCTATCAGCTAAGGACCTCAGATATATTGTAGTAAAACTATATAAGCAGAATACCTCAGCAGTTCTTGAAGAGAAAGAAGTATGTTTATATAAACAAAAATGTCCACATTCAATGAATAAATGCAAGCTGTGGAAGTGTATATATAGTATGATGTAATTTTTTTTTTTTTTGAGACAGTCTCACTCTGGCACCCAGAGTAGTGTTCTGTGGCATCACAGCTCACAGCAACTTCAACCTCTTGGGCTCAAGCAACTGTCTTGCCTCAGTTTTTCTATTTTTAGTAGAGATGGGATGTCACTCTTGCTTAGGCTGTTCTTGAACTCCTGAGCTCAGGGAATCCACCCACCTCTGCCTCCCAGAGTGCTAGGATTAGAGGTGTGAGTCACCACCCATGGCCATATGATCTCATTTTTAAAAATGAAAAAGTATATATATATAGTTCTATTTGTGTCTGGCATACAATAGGTATTTGGTAAGTAATTTGTGAAATGAATCAATTATATGTGAATAGAAGACAGTAAAAGGAAACACAACCCTTTTTAAAAAATAGGGGTATATTACTGGGAAGTGACAGCATGGATCTTTTATTTTTCTATGTTTTTGTATTATTTTCATAAGGAGTATTTTTTTTAAGTTGGTTAAAAAAAGAAAATCCACTTACACAAAATAATTAAGAATGCTCAATTCTTTATCAACATTTCCAGGGACATAAAGAATTTAACATCAATCATCGTAGTTCTTTTACCTACATTCAAGGTTGCATTCCGTGGTACCAGACACCTTAGGAGTTTTTTCTTGTTCTCTAAGTTGCTGGTTTAAACTTCTCAACTGCCTGAAGGAAATAATGAAGAACTATGAATGCAGGACCCCCAAGTCCATTTAACACTACACATGTGACAGCCTATCATAAAAGAGAAAACACAGACGTGGTACCCACTATCCTTTAGAGAAGCAGAAGTCCATCTCATCCCCAAAATGAAAGACAAAAATGAAATAAACAAAATAACAAAATCACACTATTATTATTAGAGGGCCTAAAATGATTTTTAAAAGATTGCCTGAAACAGCATAAAACCTCCCATCACTAGAAAAAGGTTGACTGTTATTTTTTCCTCTTTTTTTGTTCTCTTTTTAATGACTTGGTTTTTTTTTTCTTTCTTTTCTTTCCTATCTCCTCTTACAATCTTCTTCTGTCTTTCTGTGTATCTTCATGACTGTAGTCAATCATCTACTTCTTAAGAGATCTGTCACTGCCATAAACTAGAGGCACCGACTGCTATCAGGTATCTATTTGGTTGATGTTTTGTCACACGCACAAATCTAGGCTTCTAGTAATTTCTTTAGTAGATGTCAAAGTTAATGGCCTTACTTAAGTAACAAGAGTGTTAAAAAACGCCAGTCTGCCCTACAATGAATTGCACTATATGAAGCTGCTTTACAAACAGAAATATACAAAAGTGTTCTCTCTACTTCTAAGAAGTTATGACTTAGGGGAAAAAAAGTTTTCCATTACCTTTCCAGAATCACTTACCTGAAGATATTTTACCTTAAAATACTTACTTTCATTACTGAATTTAAATGATAGTAACCTCTCTCATATTATTCTGGATGTGATTAATTCTAGACTGCATCTGTATTAATTCTGGATTGATTAAAGCATTGAACATAAAATATACAAACAAAATCCAAATATACAAGTTTTAGGGGGAAATCTACTTAACCTTGAAGTGAGGAAGGCATTCCTAAGAAAAATCCAGCAACCATCAAGGAAAGGAAAGAGTTAACTACATAAAATTTGAAACTTATTCTAGAAGAGCCTGAAAGAAAACAGTGCCACAGATATAAAACAGATAAGGGGTCCATAACATTTAAAGAGTTCCTAGAAATCATTAAGAAAGGCAACTTAGGCTCGGTACCTGTGGCTCAAGTGGCTAAGGCACCAGCCACATACACCTAAGGTGGCAGGTTCGAATCCAGCCCCAGCCCGCCAAACAACAATGACGGCTGCAACCAAAAAATAGCTGGGCGTTATGGCGGGCACCTGTGGTCCCAGCTACTTGGGAGGCTGAGGCAGGAGACTCACTTGAGCCCAGGAGTTAGAGGTTGCTGTGAGCTGTGATGCCATAGCACTCTACCCAGGGAGACAGCTTGAGGCTCTGTCTCAAAAAACAAAACAAAACAAACAAACAACAAAAACAAACAAACAAAGGCAACTTAGTAAAAAAAAAAAAAAAAAAAGATAAAAGAATGAGTAGTTCACATAAAAAGTAGAAATGGCCTATAAGCATATAATAAAATGTTTGGCTTCACTAATATGAAGAACTGCAAATTTAAAAGAAAAAGATTTTTTGGCCACAGGATCGACCAAACCCACCCTCCCAAAGACCCAAAAAGCCCCCACAAAGTAACTCTTATTGATGATAATATAGGGGAATTAATTATCTCTATTGGTGGGGAGTTTACTGGTATAACCATTTTGGACAACAATTTGGTATCCAACAAAAAGTAAAATGTTTGTCATCTTTGACAAAATTGTTCTATCTCTAGGTCATAGTGTCAGAAATAGTTGTACATGTGCAAAAACATCTATAACCTTGTAAATATATATAAGGATGTTCATAACAGCAACTACTTACTAGTGAGAAGTTGGAAACAAAACACTACATAAATTATGGTACATACATATATGAAATACTAATATAGTTATTAAAAAGAATGAGACAGCTATATGCACTGACATGGAAAGATCTCCAAGGCACATTATGGTGTGAAACAAGGAAGCTGCAGAATAACAGGATAATATGAGCTCATTTTTGTCATAATAAAACTCTGATTTTCTTATGCTTTACAAGAAAGATTGCACAGTAGATCTAGAAAAGGCAGCACTGACTGGTGACCTAGAACTCCAAGTGAAAGCCTTCTGCTATTTTTCCTAAAACAGCAAATGCCAAGGTCCTCCTAGTAAGTGTGACAGAAGCTTTGCCCAACAATCTTTTTGTATGTCCCAAATTCTTTTCTTCCCAAATGCAGCCAAACCTTTCATAACTCACTGCTAGCCTCTCATTCCTACCTTCTTTCTCTTAGTTGAATACTTTACTATTTTCATTAAAAACACTGTGGTTTGGGGACAAACTCTGTTATCCCTTGGTCCCAGGGTGTCTGTAGGCTTCTAACCTTCACTTGTCTCTACTCTCAGAGTGAGTAGCCTCATCTGCCCCTTGGATCCCATCTCCCCCCATACCAGCAGTTCTCAACCTGTGGGTCAGAATTGTATTAAAGGGCCACAGCACTAGGAAGGTTGAGGACCACTGCCCTAGATCCCTAAGGACTCTGCTCCTGGTCTTCCACATCCACACCAACTCCCTTTATCTGCTCCCATATCTCCACCTTCTCCTTCAATGCCTATTCATGTGCCTGAGGCAAGAAGCGTGCTAAAACTCCTCCAATATTTAGGAAAATACTTCCTCCAACCTAACTATACAACTAGATACTCTCTTCCTTCTCATTTGCTCATTCAGGGCCAGGCTTTTATAAAATAATTATTCTATTAAAAAATGATACATGAGGCTGAGGGCAGTGGTGGGTGTCTATAGTCTCAGCCGCTCTGATTATACCTGTGAGAAGCCACTGCACTTCCAACTGGGTAACATAGTAAGACCCTGTCTCTACAAAGAAATTAAAAATAATAATAAAATAAAAATGAAAATCATAAAAAACAGTAAACAATACTTCAAAAATTGATAGTTACACATGATACTTAAAAATATTATGCATTAAATTTAAACATACTTGATTTTAACAAAGGAAAAGAAGAAATGCTGACATTTAGGAAAATGTTTATTAACTTCATTCATTTTTTACATAGTTTTATTAAGATAAAACTGATAGACAATAAAGTGCATAAAATTTGAAGTATATCATTTTATGTTTTGACATGCAGTGAAACCATTATCAGTTAAGATATTCATCACCCGCCAAAGCTTTCTCTTACCTTTTTTTATAACCCTCCTTTTATAGACACACAGCTACCATAGATTAGTTTACACTTTCTAGAATTTTATCTAAGTGCAATCATGCAAGGTATCTAGCAGAACCTCCATAGTTGACCACCTCCCTACATTGACCACCTCCTTAAGTTGACCTAATTGTCATAGACATGTACCACAAATACTTATCACTACAGCAGGCCTAGTTCCTTATGTTGACCACCTCCATATGTTGATCAACTTGTTACAGCTCCTTGGATGGTCAACTTACAGAGGTTCTACTATATTCTTGTAGCCTGGTTTCTTTCACTCAGCTAAATAATTCTGAGATTCATTCATGCTGTTAACAAGTATGAATAGTTACTACATTTTATTGTTGAGTGGTATTCTATTACATGGATATCCACAATTTGTTTATTCATTACCTTAATGACAGACATTTGGATCGTTTGCTATGAACATTCATGAACAATTATTTTGTGTGGCTATATACACTCTAACTTCTTTACAGCAAATACTTAGAAGTGTCTGAATCATAAGACAGATGTATGGTTAATTTCTAAGAAACTGTCCAACTACTTTCCAAAGTTGCCAAACCATTTTACATTCCCACCAGCAGACAGTGAAGTTCCTGTTACTCCATATCCACACTAACACTAAAGATCCTAGCACTCCAGGAGGCCGAGGTAGGAGAATCACTTGAGCTCAGAATTCCAGACCAGCTTGAGCAAGTGCACGACCCTGTCTCTACTAAAAACAAAAAAATTAGCCAGGAGCAATGGCATGCAGTTGTACTCCCAGCTACTGAGGAGGCAAGCAGGAGGCCTGCTTGAGCCTAGGCATTTGTGGGTGCAGTGAGCTATAATGATGCCACTGCATTCCAACCTAGGTGACAGAGAGAGACTAGGACTCGATAAAAAAATAAAATGAAATCGGGTCTTTTGGTATGTAGCCACTCTAAAGGGTGCCCGTGGTATCCTTCTGTGGTTCTAATTTGCATTTTCCTAATGATTAAAGATGATAAACCAGGGCAGTGCCTGTGGCTCAGTGGGTAGGGCGTTGGCCCCATACAGCGAGGGTGGCAGGTTCAAACCCAGCCCTGGCCAAACTGCAATAAAAAAATAGCCAGGTGTTGAGGCGGGTGCCTGTAGTCCCAGCTATTCAGGAGGCTGAGACAAAAGAATTGCCTAAGCCCAGGACTTGGAGGTCACTGTGAGCTGTGACGCCATAGCACTTTACTGAGGGCGATAAAGTGAGACTCTACAAAAAAAAAAAAGAAGATAAACCATCTTTTCATGTTCTTATCTGATAGCTATACATATATATATATATTATACATATATACATATGTATATATACATATATATATATAGGCAAAGTATCTATTCAAATATTTTATCCATTTTTGAATTGGATATTTTAAAATTTATACTCTCTTAGAGAAGTTATAATAGTTCTTTATACAATCTAGATACAGGGCCTTTATCAGATACATATTTTGTAAATATTTTCTTTCTGTCTGTTGGTTGCTTCTTCATTTTTAGGAATAGTGTCTTTTGAGGAGCAAAAATTTTAAATATTGACGAAGTTCAATTTATTCATTTTTTCTTTTCTAGTTACATTTTTTTATTTTGTATTTAAAGAAATCTTTCCAATCCAGAGTCACTAAGATTTTTTCCTATAAGCTCTCTGATTTGTTTCAAGTTAATTTGTATATATGGTAAAGAAGTAAAAGCTGAGGTTCATTTTTTTAAACTATAGTCCTCTAACTGTTTCAGCACTATTTATTAAAAAGACTGTCTTTTCCCCATTCAATTTCTTTGACACTTTTCCCAGAAACTAATAA